CACGCTGCAATCCCTTCTCCTCCATTCTCCTCTCGGGATCTTGGGCACGCATGCACACGCGCCTGGCGTGAGTTTTAAGCCACCGGGTCCGGGACGTGAACCGTGGTCGACTACGTGGGAGTCCAGTGACATAGCCATTACGCTAACTGCTGGTTCCCTGTGCTCAAGATCTTAAGAGTAGAATGGAGGAGAAGGGATTGTGGCGTGGTCATCTCTTCGGAGGGGGTGATTTCTCACTTTCTGTCTGTCTGTCTATCTGGTGAACACTAGCGCCCTATAGCCAAAAAAAACACAAAAAAACAAAAAAAAACCCAACTCTCCTCCCCCCCAAAAAAACTCACGCTAGGTATGTGTGTGTGTGCGCATGCGTATCCAAAATCCGGAGAGGAGAATGGAGAAGTGATTGTGCCATGGCCATTTTCCCTGGGGGGTGGGTGGTGATTTCTTGTTTTCTGTCTCTCTGTGAATGCCTGTGCCCTATAGCAAAAATCTCTCAAAACAAAAACAAAAAGTAGGAGAGTGGCCTCAGGTCACTCAGCTAGAAAGTGGGGACTGTGCTGGCTGATCTGAGTATGGGTGCTGGTGGTAGTTAGGGCTATGTGGCAGGACCCTACCTGGGTGCTTGTCACTGCTTTTGGAGAGAGGTTACCTTGGAGAAACTTGATGTCTATGTCAAATCACTGAAGGGAGCAATGGAGGTTTAAAGGCATCAGAGGGACCAGCAGTTGGCTTAATGGGTATGTTGCTGGACTCCCATATAGTCAATCATGGTTCAAGTCCCAGACCTGGTGGCTTAAACTCATGCAGGGAATGTGTATGTGCATGCCCAGGATCCTGAGAGGAGAATGGAGGAGAAGGGATTGCAGCATGGTCATCCCCCCTGGGGAGCAACTTCTCACTTTCTGTCTTTCTCTCGCAAGTGCATGTGCCCTACAGGAAAACCCTCTCCCTCCCCAAAATAATAGTAATAAAAAATAAAGGCATCAGGAAGCATTCCATATGAGTGTCTTAAGTTTAAAGCATTGGTGGCCTCACCCAAAGAAGGCCCTTGGAGTGGATGTGGCAGACTAGGGAGCTCTGTGTGTTAACACATGTTGTCCTGTCCTGTGTGTGCTCTACTGTCCTCTCAGGATTGGCATGAGCTTGGCCCTCTGTCCTCCTAGGAAGGCAGTTGGTTTTCTTGCCATGGATTTGGGGGTGTCCCTAGGCTTGTTTAGCCTTAGTTTCTTTGTGAGATGTCCTCTGTGACCTTTATGCTCCCTCCTTGCTCTGTTTTTCATGGTGCTTGAAGCCTCTGTCTTCTTTCTCTTTGGCGGTAGTGAGGACAGGTATCCTATCAAGGTAAGCAGGAAGGGCCCAGGCTTATTAACTTTATAATTTCTTATTTACATTTAGTTATTGTATTTCTTTGTGGGGTATCATACGGTTTTTCAAAGCATGCATGTAATATGTGGTAATCAAATCAGGGCTTCAGTTAAAATGCTTGCACTGCTACCTGACTATGGTCTTGGGGGAGGTCCTGAGCCTCTAGTCTCCAGGCTCTAAGACTTTGGAAATGGTTGACTTGGTACTTCATGGATCATCTGCAATATTTTCTTTCCTTTCTTGCAGAGTCAGAACAGGTCATTGTACATGTTCTGTTTATTGTTTCAGATTGCAGAACTACAAATGAGTGCAAGCTGTTTACTTCAAGGGAGATAATTCATGGGGAAAAACTGGACCAATGCAGGAGGACTGGTGCCCAGGGACTGGAGCCAAAAGAAGCCCAAGAAAAGGAACAGCTGCCTCAAAGTGAGTCAGAGTGGAGTTGGCACAAGCAAATTGGGCAGAGAGTCCCTGAGCCCATCACTCTGACCAACAAGGAGAGTGGCCAGAGGTCTGGGGAAAGCCTCATGTGGGGGTCAAGACTTCTCCTTGACCAGAGACCTCACAAATGTGATATATGTGAACAAAGTTTTGAACAGAGATCATACCTCAACAACCATAAGCGTGTACATAGGTCAAAAACAACAAATATAGTTCATGATTCTGGTGAAATCTTCAGTGCAAACTTAGTGGTAAAAGAAGATCAGAAAATTACTACAGGGAAAAGATTGCACTATTGTTGTTGCTGTGGGAAGACCTTCAGGTACAGTGCTAATCTTGTTAAGCATCAGTGGCTTCACAGTGAAGAAAAGCCCTACAAGTGTGAGGAATGCGGCGAAGCCTTCAGCCAGAGCTGTGAGTTTATCAATCACTGGAGGATGCACTCGGGGGAGATCCCCTATCGATGTGATGAGTGTGGGAAGACATTCAATCGGAGGCCTAACCTTATGAAGCATCAAAGGATTCACACTGGGGAGAAGCCCTACAAGTGTGGCGAGTGTGGGAAACACTTTAGTGCCTATTCTTCCCTTATTTATCACCAGAGAATTCACACTGGAGAGAAACCATATAAATGTAATGACTGTGGCAAAGCCTTTAGTGATGGCTCAATTCTCATCCGACATCGTCGGACTCACACTGGAGAGAAGCCATTTGAGTGTAAAGAATGTGGCAAAGGCTTTACCCAAAGTTCTAACCTTATCCAACATCAGAGAACTCACACTGGAGAGAAACCTTATAAATGTAATGAATGTGAGAAAGCCTTCATCCAAAAAACCAAACTTGTTGAACATCAGAGAAGCCACACTGGAGAGAAGCCCTATGAATGTAATGATTGTGGCAAAGTTTTCAGCCAGAGCACACACCTCATCCAACATCAGAGAATTCACACAGGAGAGAAGCCCTACAAGTGCAGTGAATGTGGGAAAGCCTTTCACAACAGTTCCAGACTCATTCACCACCAAAGATCACACCATGGAGAGAAGCCATACAAATGCAATGATTGCAAGAAAGCCTTCAGCCAGAGTACATACCTGATTCAACACCGGAGGATCCACACTGGAGAGAAGCCCTATAAGTGCAGCAAGTGTGGGAAGGCTTTTCGGCATAGTTCTAATGTATCTCAGCACCAGAGGATTCACCTACGAGGAGACTTCTCCATGTGATGGTGGAGGAGGGCTCATGAGGGCAGAATCCTATCACACTTCCTCCATATACCCCAACAGCCTGCCGCTGTATTTTATTTATTGTCCACATTGTATTTTCACAGGGTAAAAGGGTATCCTGGCTTAAAGAAACTTCTTTTCTTAAACCAAAAGTAGTACATGTTCATTTTAGAGAAAATGAGAAAGAAAAGTGAGCATAAAAGAAGTTCCTGTGATCACCTTCATTTATAAAAAGAGAATGTTACAGCTGACTTAGGATTTATTTCTTTTCAGACACAGTGGACAGATTTATTTTGAAAGCATTATTTAATTTCATTCATTAGTATGTTTTTTTTTTTTTTTTTTTTGACTAGAGAGTGACAGAGAAGGAAGAACAGAAATCAAGCTACCAGGTCCAGGACTCAAACTGTGGTCACCCATGTGGAAGTCTAGTACCTCAACCACCATGCTACCTGCTGGCCCACACAGTGGAGAGATTTAAAAAAGTAAATATTATGCACATTGTTACAACACCTGGGATCATCACCTTGGCCATTTCCTCAGCATCAGAAAATTCACAATAGGGAGAACTCCACGTATTGGCATACTTTTATTACTGTAATTAGAAAAAATTCACAATGTACTATCCATACTTTTCTCAGAGTTGAAATTGCCTTTTTAATTAGGGTAAATATATACAACGAGCCAGCAGGTGCCATGGTGGTTGAGGGCACTGGACTCCCACATGGCCAACTGCGGTTCAAGTCCTGGACCTGGTGGCTTGCTTTCTCACTTCCTCTCTCTCTCTCACATTTTGTCCCTTTCTGGTAAAAGTAAAATAAATACGGTTTAAAAATTTAAAAAAATAATTATTTAATTTTATTAATTTATTTACTTTTAAAATTTGACCAGAGAGGGACAGAGCCAAAGAGTGAGAGAGAGGGAGAAAGAAAGCCACCAGGCCCAGGTCTTGAACCACTGTTGGCCATGTGGGAGTCCAGTGCCCTTAACCACCATGCCACCTGCCAGCCCCAAGAGCTGCTTTATTAACCCAAATAGAAACTATGTACCAATTGAATAGTAACTCTCCATTTCCTTTTTTCCTAGCTGCTGCTAAGTTGAATCCTATTTTCTGTCTCCCTGAACTTGACTATTCCAGGAACATTATATAAGTGGAATCATATATGTTCCTTTTATATCTGGCTTTGTTCATTTAGTCTGTTTTTAAGTTTTGTCCATTTTGTAACCTGTATCAGAACTCCATTCCTTTGGGTGGCTGAATAATCATTCCATGTATGTACTACATTTTGTTTATCCATTCATCTGTTTGACTCGTTTCTACCTTTTGACTATTGTGAATAATGCTGGTATGAACAGTCTTGTGCAAGTATCTGTTGGGATCTTTTAGGTACTTAATGGTTTTAGATCTAGGAGTGAAATTGCTGGATTATATGCTAATTGTTTTAATTTGAGTTGAGGAATACTCAAATTATTTTCCATGCTATTTTATATTCCCACCAACAATATACAAAGATTCTGTTGGGTTGTTGGAAAAGTCATGATGCATTTTTACATAGAAAAAGTACATCACGGGGGCCTGGCAGGTGGCGTGCTGGTTGAGGGTCACATGGTTGACCACAGTTTGAGTCCTGGACCTGGCGACTTGCTTTCCCACTTTCCTCTCTCTCTCTCTGGTCAAATTAAAGAAAAAAAAAAAAAAAAGACTTTTCCGCCAACCATCTTTTTTTTTTTCAACCACTTCCTTCCTTCCTTCCTTTCTTTCTTTCTTTCTTTCTTTCTTTCTCTTTCTTTCTTTCTTTCTTTCTTTCTTTCTTTCTTTCTTTCTTTCTTTCTTTCTTTCTTTCTTTCTTTCTTTCTATTTTTATGCTGTCCTATTTGGTTGAAATGGTATTATAGCACAGTTTGGATTTGCATTTCACCAATGACTAATGATGTTGAGTATTTTTGTTTTTTAAAGAAGTATCTTATTTATTTATTACTATTATTATTTTTCCTCATGAGTTTTCCAGAGAAAGAGAAGGAGAGAGAGAGTGAGAAAGCAAGCTGCCAGGTTCAGGACTCAAACTGCAGTCAGTCACATGGGAATTCCAGTGCCTTGACCACCACACCATCTGCTGGCCAACTAAGTATCTTTTTAAGGGCTTATTGATAATCTGTATTTTTTTTTTTTTTGTAATTTGCCAAAGGTTGCATGCACTAACCGGAGAGAGACAGAGAAAGAAAAAGAGGGAAAGTGAAAAACAACCCTTTAGAGGAGATGGTCATACTACAATTACTTTGTCATCTTTTCAGGATTTGGGGCATGCATGGCTATGTGCCTGGCATTTTTTTTTTAAAGAATTATTTCATTTAACTTTATTTATTTTATTGGCTTATTTATTTTAATTTTGCCATAGAGAGACAGAGAGAAAGAAAGAAAGCAAGCCACCAGGTCCGGGACTCGAACTGTGGTCGCCCATGTGGGAGTCCAGCGCCCTTAACCACCACGCCACCTGCCAGCCCCAAGCCTGGCTTTTTTTTTTTTTTTTCTCCTGTAACTTTTTAAAATTTTTTAATTTTTTAATTTTTTATATTACTTAACATTCATTCCCTGAGCATCATCACAACGTACTAAATGTGGTTTCCCATCTAGGATAAACTGCATAGTGGCTTAATCAAGCATGTTATCATCAATAATATTCCATTTCTACTTTCATACATATGTATACATATATATATGTTTTTTATCCT